TAGATGATGATAAATAACATAGTTATGTATAATATATTACATTTCTGACTGTATATCCCTGTAATTATTACACACTGTAGCTTTAAGGCATTTACACTGCAGTGGGTTTTTTTAACAGTCAAGTAACTAAACAATATTTTCCTACATCGCATTTGGTAAAAAAACAAACAAAAAAAAAAAAAACCAACCACAGCAAATGGCATTTGAAGGTTCTTATAGGGAGAATAGTGATTAAATAACTTATAAATTTGCCCGAAGAAAAAAAATAACTTTGATCACAGGGATGTACCCCCAAAAAAACAAAAACAGTATCATTAAAGGCTGGTCTGTTTCTCCTATTTATTTATTTATCTTTTTTTTTTTTTTTTTTTCGGACAGACACTTGCATTTCCTATAGCTCTGAGAAAGAATACTGCTCTCCAGATATAAAATAAACACACTTGATTCAGATGCCATAGTTTGGCTCTTAAAGACCAGATATATGGGATTTACTTTTCAAATTACAAATAAGCCCTAAAAGAGATTTCAGCTCAGAAAACTTGTTAACTAAACTCATAAATGAAAGAGAGATCCTTTTGATAGAAATAAATAATCATAAGTAAAACTTGGTGAATTTTAGTAAACTTCTTGTACTTTAACTCAGGGGTCCAGAAATATTTCCTGTTACCCCAAAATAAAACATTATTAATCATTTTTGGTCCTCTTTCAAGAAAGTGGATTATATCAGACTTTTTAATTAATTAATATTTTTTTCTCATTTCAAAAGTGGAATTTTACTCAACATTCCTAAAACATGAGGTTTTATATTTAACCCTGTAATGCCAAATGTATCATATTTGATACGTACGGTTTCTGAAATGTTTTGCGTCTGACACCTTTTGCATAATTTAATGGTAAAAACTTTGCTCAAAATCCTATTGTTCACAATCAGATAAACCTGATAACAGAGGGCAGGAGACTACACAAAAAATAATATTGACTTATCGCATAGTAAGAAATTATTAATATCAAAAATGTATTTCTGTTTTTCTTTTTACATATTTTGTTAAAAGGCCAAATAAGGACTTCGAACCAAAAAAAAAGCAATTTTCAGTTTTGTTTTATTCCTGGATCGGGCTTTAAAGGGTTAAATATTAGCCTAGAAATGAGTTTCTATGTTTTGCATAGACTTGAAGCTTTTTGCCATTGTAAGACGCTCCTTATGTCGCCTCTCGTTCAGAATTGGCCTGACATACGAAAAGCAACAAAAGTACTGGACAGCACAAGGTGAGGCGGCCCTTGAACCACCAGCTAAGGTATATTTATTGTGAAGTTAATCAAGTTTTGCAAAATCCTCTCAAGGATTTGATTTGCAATGTTTTTTTCCTTTCACTCAACTTTCCATAATTATCTATGGAGACACCTGCTAACCTCCGTCAAAGGGCCTTTCTTCGGTGACACCTTCTACAGTTTGTCCTCCCTCTGCATTTTGTTGGGCTCTTTTTGTTATTGGTCTTTTGAAATATTTCAGTTTCAAACAATATCTTTAACGATGCATCTGTAAAACCGAACAAACGTGATTGAAATTGAAAGGTAGAAATTCCTTTAGCTTTACAAAAACAACAAAAAAATAGCTGTGCAACAGTAAAATAAATTGTCCCTTTCATATTCACATGTTTCTGCATGATCAAAATAATTGTGAACATTTCAAACATCAGATACAAAGTGGAGCTTTAACGCTGGCAATTTATTATCACCTAAAGAAGAAACACCAAATGGTAATAAATAAAAGATTTTGCAAAAAAAATAATTTAATTAAAGATCTTTAGGGGGAAGCAAAATAATTATGTTCAACTGATTTTGTTTTTCTTTTTGCTAGGCCTCCACACAGCATGCAGAGGCATAGTGTTTTGGGGAAGCTGTAACAGTGAAGGATGGACTGAAAGGTTTAGTTGGAGCCGTTTTCGAGATCCTTGCTGATGCTGCTACCTGCTGGAAGGGAATCTTTCATCCACTGTGGAATGAAGGGCTTTTGGTGGCAGATGCCATTGAGACTGTAAAGAAAATGCACGGCCAACAAAATAACAAAGCAAAACTCTTGTGCACATGCTTCACCATTTTCAGTTCAAACACATACATGTGCGTGTGCATGCTGTGCTCATGCCTGTTCAGACATTGTTGTGGCTTCATGTCTAAATGCCCACAACACAAATGACCATATTCTACACACCAGAAGCAGGCAGATGGATAGAAAGGCAGGCAGGCAGGCACTGAAACACATGCAGTCAGGAGACACAGGCAGCACCTACTTGTTACAGGGACATGAACATAGACCACAGAACTGTCCTAGATTGTTCAAATTCTTTTCTGCATCCATCATGTCCTTATTGATTTGGTCCATCCCCTCCTCGATGCGCTCCAGTTGTTCTGATTAGCAACACATTGTCATTTATCCCATCACAAGAACGAAAGCACATAAGAAGAGAAGAGAGGTGGGAAAAAAAACAGAGAGGGGAGTAAAGGGGAGGGAGGGAGGAGAGGAGACAAAAAAAGACATAGACTGTGACAAGAGAGACATCAGACATCACCATCACCACCACCAGCACTGGACAGGCAAGAGCTGGAGGCTCCTGGCCGGTACCTACTTCTTAACACATGGGCATATCAGACCACAGCACTGTCCTATATCTTTTAAATCTTTCTCGGCCTCCTTCAGGTCTGCGTTCACCTTGTTCATGCCCTCCTCCACACGATCAAGTTGTTCTGGTGAGGACAGAGGCACGAGAGCAGTGAAATGAAGCTGCCTGGTTTTACGTTGAGTTGGCGCTCTATGGTGCTAAGAGACTAAATGCAGAAGGCAAAGCGGGCGGCAAGGATTGAGAGGACCTCATGTCTATCCCAACAAAATGAACTCCAACAGAGAGAATCTTCTGTTCATTTGCAAGAAACTCTTTTTTCTACCTTCCTGAGGAGTGAATTTTGTTACATTATTTTTGCAAGCAAAGAACATGTTTTGTAAATTGAAATTTTTAAATAATGCATTCCAGAAACTATTCCGTAAAAATTCAAAAAATATCCACTGGACTTGGTTTTCAAGATTTGAAGACATTTGGCCACCTCTCCAGGAAGCTTTCTCAATTCAAATTTGAATTCAAATTTGAATTCAAATTTGAATTGAGTCTTCAAATCTTGAAAACTAAGACTATGACCTGGATGACTGAGAACCTTCATCAGCATTCCAGAAATTAAACTTTGACAAATGTTTTAATTTAAAAAAAGAGAAAAGAGAGAGAAAAGTTGTTTTTTTTACTGATTTCATATTTCCATATTATTATTATTTTGTTTAAGTTTTACAAATTTCTTTCTTTTTAAACTGAGTTTTACATATCGCATTATTTTCACTTTTGGGGGCGGGCTTTCCCCTTGGACTGAGGATCAAAGAAACTTTTTTATTGGTCTACATCGACCGTAGCAAGATTTTAACTATTTAAGATAAAGCGTTTGCATTGGGAATTTATGATCTACAAAACCAAATTCAAAATAATATAATTCTTAAAATTCAATCTGAAAAAAAAGGTAATTTGGAAAAAACAAAAATCAGAGAAAACAGTAAACCTTTTTTAATTAAAAGGATTTTCAAAGTTTTATATCTGGATTTCCATTTTCTGTTCTTTGCTGGCAAAAATAATGAAATAAAATTCCCCCCATACCTACCTCCATTCCAAAGGATATTTTTGATTTTCTTGAGAGGCAGCAGGTAAGTGCCTCATCCAGAAGTGCATCTGTACATAAAGAGGGTTATTCTTCCACTTCAACTGCTTCACTGCTGCGGATGAATTCATGGCTAATTCAATAAGCTAAAGCTTAACAGCTGAAATAAGATCTCAAACACTAATAAGCAGAAAGTAGATCTGAAGAAACGGAGCAGACAGAAATAGTCTGAGCGACAGGTAGAGCTTCTATTATACGTTGTGTTGAAAAAGTATTCACACCTTTAAAACTTTTTCACAGTTTGTTTCATGAGAACTAGAGACTTTAATGTATTTCTTTACATTGTCAATTTATGTGAAAGAATAAACAAAGCAGAGCTTTTACTTTTTAATTTTTTTTAAGCCTAAACATGGTGGTATACTCATGTTTTCTGTTGCCTTTGTCCCACCCTGTCACTCCACTTCCTCTCCTAATCCAGACAGTTTCAGGCAGCAAACCGGAGCCAAACCAGTTTATCCCTAAATGCCTGTGTGGAAAGGTTGATCACTAAAATGACTCTTAGTTTAATGTTAATACTTTGCTGAAAGGGGTAGATCGTTATTTTATTTCACTATGTAATAAACTATACCGTAAATAACAATTTCTTAACTATTTTATCAATATTTTATTGGGACTTGATGTGATAAATCAACAAAACGTAGCAGTTGGTTGTGAAGTAGAATCAGTCAATCGCCTTCATTCACAGGGAACTTTTATACAGACGAGGAAAGACAATAAAACTGGCTTCCTGAATAGTGTGGTGTGCATTTACTCTCAGCCCTCTTTAATAAATACCTTCTAAAACCATTCTACTGGAATTATTTTCAGTATATAATTTTTAAAGTTTAGTCAGATTGGATAGAAAGACTGTATACATCTTTTTTTTTTTTTTTTCAAGAATTCAGATACATTTGTGAATTGAATTAAGGGGCTTATATCATACAAAAGAAACTATTTTTTAGGATTTAAATCTCTTTAAAATGCTATTTTGGCATCATAAAACTTAATGTAGATGTATTGTTTAAATCATTCGGCCACGTTTGTTCCCTCCTCAACAATAGTTTCCTCTATTTCACGGCTCCATCCACAGCTCTAAAAGGAGTTGATGTGGCAAAGTTAGGAACACGCCAAGAGGATATAATAATCCCAAAACAATTACAAACTACCATAAGGGGAAATCACTCAACAAAATGTTTTGCATTTTTATATTGGAGCTTGGAACGGACACTTAAGGATGTTTTCCTATGTGACCTGCACTTTGGTTCGGATAGCTTCAAGAACTCTGCCAGAAACCAAAGTAGATTTATGACGTGTTTTAGTCCTTAAACATGACAAAATATCATCCATGGAAGCAGCTGATTGACAGGAAAAACAATAATTTTAACAGACTTTGTGCTGTTCAAGTGTAAAGCGCTAGCTAAATGCTCACAACATAACTGTATCGCATAGCTTTTCATCAAGAGCAAATTTATGATGCTGATACACCTTGTTAACATCCACAATAAGCTAAAGTTTTGATGCAAGCAGTCTTGAAAGTTATTTGATTGTGCACAAGCAAGCCCATGTAGCTCTTTGGCTTATTGATGGCTTATGAGGGAGAAAACAAAGCATCTTTCCTCTGGCTTGAACCCACCCCCCCCGGGAAATGAGCAATTTATCATAAAATTTATATTTTTTGGTTAAAAAAAGCTACATTTCATCATAGATATGCCTAGAGTTGACTTTGGATTGCATAATAAAAGTATGATGTAGGACCTTTAAAGCTGGACTATGACTAGGCCATTGAAACAAATGATTGATCTTCCATTCAAACCATTCTATTACGCTTATTTTTCCATTATCGTCCTGCATTCAGCTCCACCCCGCTTCCATTAAAATCTGATCCACTTCACACCTTAAACCGATGAAAAACTCCCTCACAGAGCATATCTTTCACAGTAGAGATGATGTGCTGAGGATAACATGTTTTTAGCCACAAAGCCTTTTAGATGATGGCTTTTTTTCCATTTTGGTCCTATTTGACCCGAGAATATTCTCTCATAAGTTTGAGTCACCAAAGGGATGTAAAGAACTGCAAATAGGATTTGTTCTCAGGCTTTATTTGAATAATTCTTCCATAGAGGTCAGACTTTGGAGCAAGCCTGACTTAATAGAGTTGAGATGTTCTTCCTCTGGAACTGACAAAGAGTATGTGGAAATACAGTCTTTGTAAGATTTCCAAAGCTGTGTTTTAGTTCAGTTTTTGAAATTCTTAAATAAACACTATAAATTTAGATCTTAAAGTTTGTCAAAGGTGTACCTTTTTTTCATTATGCTGTCCATTCTCTCTGAGACCATCAAAGAGCAGCTGGCTGGAACTGTACTAATATTATGTTGGAAATACACACCACACCTTTCAGAGTTTTTATAAAATTTCAATTTCTTTCTATATAAAAAATACTCAACACTTTCATCTAAAATTTCATTAAAACACTTTGAGGTTTGTGACTGAAATGTCAAGAAATAGGAAAATGTTCTAAAGTTGTGAATACTTAGCAAGGGACTAAACGATGCCAACAATATAACAAAGCTGCAAAATAAAAGCCTGAAAAGATAAAAACCTAACATTAAGTTGTGTCCAAGCAGAGGTGGGTAGAGCAGCCAGAAATATTACTCAGTTGGCTTCCCTCAAAATGTTCACAGACCCTTGCATTCTTAACTTCATATTTTGGATCTTGTGCTGACATATGGTGTTGTTTGTGGAAAACATAAGTCCTAACTAACCATTTTTGATTTTTACAATTTTCCTTTAGAGTTTTATTTAACCGAGTTCTCCTCCCCAAAATGTAAGTTTTGCTTTTGAAGATCATTGTCAGAAAATGAGTTACAAAAAATGTAAGAATCTGTGCTTTTTTAAAGTTTTATCTTTACTACAGAAAAACACTGCCAAGTCATTTCTTTCACTTCACAAATTGTTTTTCTTGTGTTATTTTCTTACTACCTGTTGCATCAGAAAACTTAGCCACCAACCGCTACCTGAAAATGATTGAACTTACTGTTTACCTCTAAGATACGTACTTTAATGCTCAAAGCTAGGAAACTGGAGAGATAACTGTGATCTATACATCTAGAATCATACTTAATCTGGAAACTTACTACTTTTGTATACAGTGATCCTTTGCAGCACATTTCTCTTTATAATAAAGAAGAATAAGCGGCTTCTACTTAAGTTAGTGACCAACGTCACACAGAGTAAACCAGCAGTAATGACTTTGTGGGATTCTGTAGAAATGAGATTGATTTCATTATAAATAAGATTATTGGTATTCTTCAAAATATAATTATTTCATACTGAATCATGTTTAGACTATGACTGAGTTGGGAATTTTTGATTCAATTTTTATGTATTACATATCAGAGCTCTAAGGGTTCCTTATGTTACTAACAGAGCACTCAATCTGCAGGTTTACTAGTGGTTCCTAGAATTTCTAAAATAAGAACAGGAGGCAGATCTTTTAGTTATCAGGCTCCTCTCCTGTGGAACCAACTACCATTTTTAGTCTTTGAGGCAGACATCCTGTCTACTTTTAAAGCTAGGCTTAAAACTTTCCTTTTTGATAAAGCTTAGAGTAGATTAAGTTTTCCTGAGCTATCTCTACAGCTATGCTGCTATAGGCTCAGTGTACTGGAGGATATAAGGACCATCTTTTCTTACACTTCTCTTTCCAGTTTTTCAATATCTGATCATTTAAATTCTATTTTTATGTTCTGTTTTACAGTAGCTTCATCTGGCCTGCTGCTCTGTGTAGCTGTGACACTGAGGAATCCATCAACTGGGCTGCTGCTGTCAACAGCTTCATAGTATAGATGAAAGAGTTGGACCTGTTTTTCAGTGCTTAGTCCTACGCTCTGTGTAGTAATTGTGTTAATGTGTTGTGAGTTAGCTGCTGTATAAATAAAATGAATGGAACTAAGTTAAATTAAATAGGAAATTTTAATAGAAAGGTTTAAGATTTTAAATTAGCAATATATTATCCCATGTAAACAACTGGAGTGCAGTTGTTTTTTTTAAATTGAGAATCATAATTTGGAGTTTTAGAGAACAAATTATTGAATTTTGGAATTGCCTATTAAAATGTTAAAAGGGGCTCTATAAATCAGAGTCACAATCCATTAGCTATCACTCCTGTTCAAATGTAGGTCACCGTGCATGTACCAACAAAGGCTCAATAACATCTGAGACCCCTCCACCACAGGTAATAGATCACTGGGAGGAGTGATACATCTTTTCCTATGTGTGAGCTTTGTGTGTGCGTGCACTCTTGTTTGTATAGGGCAGATGGATTAGTCACACCCTGCCTTTAAGCCAACAAGACTGTATTAATGATGACACGCTTGGCAAGCTTTTACAAGCTTTTTTTACCCCTATGACAGGAAGTAAATAATGGGCCAAATCAAACAGAACCTCTAGCAGATTGGAAAAAGTGACATCATTATTGCAGACAGTGTCACATCAAGATAGAAAAAAAATAATCAAAAAAGAGGGAGAAGTCAGAAAAAAATCAAACTGCATAAAACAGAGAAACAAAGAGGAAGATTGGAGTTAAGGCTGAAGTCAGGTATAGAAATACTAGATTGGTGTAGGGAATTATGTCTAAGAATTGATTTGTGACCTGTGAAAGCAGTTAGCTTTGCACTCTGCAGGAGTTTCACAGAGAAACAAGAAGCAGGGAGAGGAGGATAACACGCTATCTTTTGCCGTGACAGGCCAATTAGGCTGCTCTGTCAGGCACAGAGCAAAACAAAAACACCCTGCAAACATATACGTATAACTACACTATGGACCAGTCTTTTAATATATCTGAATACAAACAAAACAAATTGATTGTGGTTTTGTGTTAAAATCAACTAAAATCAGTCATTAAATGTAAACCTGGATATAAATTGAAATGTAAGTCTTCAAACTGCCATTCAATTACTCCAAAGTTAACTCAGTTTCCAGTTTTTAAGCTCAATGTTGTTTCAAAGCTTTGCATTTGTGTAGCCTAATGTAAAGTTTTAAAATAACACATGGCTGTGAATGTCTAAGACTAGGTTTAAAATGTTCCTTTTTTGATAAAGCTTAGAGTGACTGAGGTTATCTTGGAGTATCTCTACAATTATGCTGCTATAGTCTTAGGTTGCTGGAGGACAAAAATACCATCATTTCTCTCTCTGCTACATTCTACTTCTATTCTCCGTTTTTGCAAAATTTTTTAGATTACCTTTTATCTTCTTGGTTTGGATCTTGCCATAGTAGCTTTATCTGCTCTAGCATTTTTATGACACTGTCCTGACGGTAGGCATAGGCCATAGATGAATATAACCTCTTCACTAAGGCTAGAACTTCTCCTTCAACTCCTGACAAATAATATCTTACATGAATTGTGTGCAGAAAGCCTGAAGTCCTGCTTTTTTTTTTGAGGATTTTCCTAAACATCATCATATTACCTGTTATTGTCTGTTTTTCCTTTGAACCTGAAATGTAGGGTTTGTGGTTAAAGTGTAAACATTCAGTGTTCCGTTAAGCCATCTACAGCTCCTAGGATCATTTTGCATCCCTTTTTGCAAAGGATGTATTATTTTGTTTTCTATTTTGTGCAGCACACATCTTTTTTTCATTCTCTTACTAAAAGTAGCAAAAAAATGTAATCTTGAAAAGTAATGTGAATTACATAACTTGCACTTCTTCTGAAATTCGGTGCAAACATTTGCTTAGGAACAAAAGAGCTTTATCCTGAATCTCTAGCGCTGTATTTACCGTGAGTTGCAAACAACTTACACTTCTTGAGGCCAACTACATCTTGTTATGCTTCAACTAAAGATTTCAACATATGTATTTAATTGGGATTTAATATTTGACCAACAGGAATTGGTGAATAAGAAAATGAAAAATGATACATAGCTTTTCCATTGTAACCTTTTTTTTGTGTGCTAATGCATGTGTCTGAGTCAATAATTTACAGAACCGCTTTTCGTTGCAGCTACACAATCAGGGCTGTTTGGGGAAGGTCTACATTCGTTTTGCACATTAAAGAGTCATTTTTTTTTTTCTTCTAAGTTAGATAGCTTAAGCATTGAGAACTTGAACACTGATTTTCTTGCCTTAATATGGATTGGAAGGCTGGACTTTGACTGGGCCACTTTCTAATGAATATATGAGCGATGGATCTTTGCAGCTCGCCAGAGTAACCGTGAACAATTTCTCTTCATGCCCAACCTTTTTTTTTAATCACAGTGAGACTGTTTTCTCACTGGTTTTAAAACAAACCTCTGTGATGTTTGTAGAATTATGTTTACACATATGTATATGCAAGTAAAGGGATTTCTGATTAGCTGACTTCTTAAGGCAGCTAGTTGCACCAGATTTTATTTATTTGGTTTCGAAGTCAAAGAGACACACTTTGTAGATTTTAAGTTCTGCACCATGTGTCCCTCTCCTCCCAATGTGAAGTTGAGTTTGCTCAGTGTTGGTCCATCCCATAAAAGTTCAATAACATACATATATTGAAGTTTGTGGTTGTTATATGACAAAAAAGTTCAAGTGGCATCAGGTCATATTTGAAAGGCCCTGTTTGCTTAAAAAGTTTTCAAAGAGTCTCAGGTTTGCTTTGTTCATAGATGTATTGTTCTTTTTGTCATTTTAAAGTACTTAGAAATAATTATGAATCTATCCAGCAAAACAATAAGGCATTAAAATATAATCTAATCTGCAAAGTGGAATCAGTGTTTCTACACATAATATAATGAAGAATCAGCTGTTTAGTGCTGAAATTCTGAAAAAAAACATAAGAGACTAGAGAGCAAAAGAGACAATATGTGACTAAAAAAACACAATAATACAATAAAATAAATCTCTTTGTACATTCTATGTAAATATAAGTTAGGTTTAACATGCTGGTCCATGTGTGCTCCGTAATAAATGGATGATTGCACATCTGGCACATCATTTAGTGATGATGGATCTCTACTTTCTCATTTATTTTAACAATGTTTATAATTTAAAACAGCTGCCAGAGCTTAGCTCAAGATGGAGATATAAAAAAAATATTCTGATAGTTAGTAAAGCAAGGGTAAAAATAATTTAGTGGAAGCTGAAATTTACTGACTTCCATTCACCAAAAAGGTCAAACAATTCATCCTGAACTATACATAGTTTTGATATGACTTAATAAATACAGATTTATAAATATATCTTTGATGTTGCAAATCTAACTAATAGTTAAAACTAAGGAATGTCCTGAGTGGAGCTGTGATCGCTGAGAATCTAGAATTATATGGAGCATTTTGTCTGCTTGAAAAAGCTCCACAGCAACATGCAGGATTATCTTCTTAGTCATGTTAGCACAGAATCTGGTTAATGTTTGCTGTCCACATAATAACTGCAGAGGAAATAAAAAGAATCTAATGTATTTTATATTCTAGTGCTTTGATGGATGTTTAGGCAGGGAGAGCGAATCAGGAGCAGGGAAGACTCGATCAAAACAGCCGCGTTCAGTAATCTCTCCTTCTGGACTTACCTCCCTGCTCGTCCAACATGACCAGAGTCCTGATGCCGGCATCTTTACTCTAACAGACGGACAGATGGAGAAGTCCGGACAGGGTGGAAAGGAAAAGAGAGAAAGACAAAAAGGAGGAATAAAAGTGAAAGATGAGTAAAGGCCAACAAAGCAGAACGGAGCAGATCTATCAGGGCAGCAAAGGCTGCTTAAATTACATTTGAAATCACATTTATAACGCTGATCCCGCAAAAAAAAACAGCCTTATTGAAGGAAGTGCTGACATTAAAGATTTTTGAAAAAATGTTGGGACCCTTCTGAAGGGCAAAACTTTTCATGTTCTTCGATTTCTCTTTTATTTAGGTTCATGATGTTTAAGTGACTGCAATTATCAAGCAAATGCTTGTTATGGCGTTATAGTGATATAACTGATTTTAAAGTGAAGATTTAAAGAAGTAATCAGCTAGAAAAATCTGACTTTTTTCATCTGCGTTGGGCTTCAGTAAAATCCTGATGTAAAATCCAGAGAGTGATTGGACCAGCAAAATCCCCAGCAGCCCGCTCCCCACAAAGTGCTCCTTTAGTCCTCCTCCTGTATGGCTGTCAACGCTGGAAGGGTGCAAACATTAGCCACCTTGCTAACAGCATTCCTTTTCCAACGTTTTATAGTGATTAAATTGTCACAAGTACAGAGAAATGAAATCAACTCTCTGCATTTAACCCATCCTCTTGGGGAGCAGTGGGCTGCCATTGTGCGGCACCAGGGGCCTTAACAATATATGGCTTTGCAGAGCAAACAGGCTCCAAAGCGCCATTCTTGAATATTCAGAGGAGTAGAAAAGGACATAAGTATTAATCCAACATGTTCCTGCAGACATTATTGGGCTAAAATTTTATTTTTAAATGATTCGTTGCATTCCCAGAGAGTCAGATACATCAGGAATAAAATATTCTGAAAGGATGATTCAGACAGGTCGCAATGAAAACGCATTACTATATGAGGTTTTTTTTTTAAGTCTGGTGATTGTCTTAGGATAGAATAAATAAAAATAATTATGGGGTTTGGTGACTGATTTGTCTTTCTGGAAGACTGAAAATGAAATTCAGAAAATAAATTGTCTTTGTGAATAATTTTAGAGGCAATTGATGATTGCTTATCAAGAAAGAATCATAGGAAATTACAGGTATTAAAGGTAGACAGGTTGTGATTTTTCAAAACTACAGGACAGGATATCTGACTCTGCCAGCTGGCATAGTTTATGGTGGCATCACTCCTTTATATACAGCCAGCACGCCCAACACACACACATTCAGGCCTTTTTCACACCTTACACTGAGTCACCTGGTCTTGTCCTTAAATAATCATACAAGAATATGAACATGAAAGCACCTTGTTATGGATTTATTTTGAATCACATTTTTTCTTTGCTTTTAATGCTTTTTCTAAAGCGAACCGTCATTCTTTAAAAGTAAACACAGCTTGCACTCTTAAATTTTCTCTTTGGATTTTTTTTTTTTTTGGATTGTTTGTTTCTACGTTCAGTCAATAAAACTGATTTTGCTCACAATCAGTAGACACATTTGTTGAGTTTTACTGCCACTCTTTCTGGGAAACATGCATCCCAGGATGAAGGTGGTTCTTCTCTGGATTAACCCCCACAAGCTGGATTCAAGGATTGACGAGAGCCCCCTCAAACATGAGTCCCTCTCCTGTAATATTCAAGCCTCAGTCAAATTTCCTACAGTCCCTGAACTGATCACTGTGATCTCCCCTTCAGACTTTCCAGTTCCGGTTCATCAGTCCACTGAGTTCCAGATCCAACTTCGGTATTTCATCTACATTTAATAAACCTGTTAAAACGTTTTCCCTTGGTCTCTGAGTGGTTCTCTGCATGTGGGTCAGATCACTTAAATCAATCATGACACAACTCCGAATTCTCTCGAGTGGTGCCCGACTTTACACTAGTGAATAAAGTGAATGTGATTGGTCAATTATCAATTCAGTTCAATTTAATTCAGTTTATTTTTATAGCGCCAAATTCACAACACATGTCATCTCAAGGCACTTTACAGTTCAACCAGATCATCCAGTCAAATTGATACAAAGTTTTCTATCTAAGGAAAACCAGCTGATTGCATCGACTCATTGACTCATCAGCAATCCCTCACACTAAGCATGCTTGTAGTGACAGTGGAGAGGAAAAACTCCCTTTTAACAGGAAGAAACCTCAAGCAGAACCAGGCTCAGTGTGAGCGGCCATCTGCTGAGGCCCACTGGGGTTCAAGGAGACAGAAGCAGACATAGAAAAAGCAGCTGTAAAAGGCGGCCCCGTCCAGGAAACACACAGCCAGGCAGACGAGCTCCAAGGCAGCTCCCATGTCAGAGGATGAAGAGAGCACATCCAGTTAGTCACGGTCAGAGAAACAGAAACACACTGGAAAACAGGCCGATCTCCAGCATCTATAAACAAGGGTCGATCAAAGGGGGTCAATTGTGCTTGAACGTTCGCAAGCAAGTTTGGTTGTGGCTGGTTTGTCGGAAGCATCTTGCTAACCAGTTAGCAACTTAGTGCTAGCAGGTTCCCAATGGGAAATTCCATTGGGACCAAGTAGCACTAAATTGGTGACTTAGAAACGACACTGTCAAGGAACGCTATGGACAGCGGAAACATGCAAGAGGAGGAGAGTTTAGTGTCGGAGGTCGTGGATGAGTCTCCTCCGTCATCCATTTTTTATTTAGAGGAGGAAAGCGGGGACAAAGATGTTGTGGAAGAGGACGCCAGGGCGGCAGAAGCTTGGTTTGGTGTAGAAGGCTTCCAGCCGTACATGTTTGAGCCCTTGCCTCGCAACGCTGCCAGTTCTGTTAGCTCTACGCCTGCCGAAGACACAGACGTCCATCCCCGTGAACACTGGGACGCAACTCAATGGGAGTAAATTGTTCTTATTTCTTATTTAAACCGTTGCCTATATTAGCTGCGACATAGAAATCAAGATGCTTTGATCGTCAAAATGTGATTGACAGATGACCGTTGATATATGATTGGCTGAATTTAGGTGTTCAGGCTGAGGTACAACTAACTGGCCTGCAGAAGATAACGAGAAAAAAATATGATTTTAAGAAATTTTCTAACTTTCACATTTAAATATGACTTCCATATGACTTTAAAACTATGTTTTACAGATCACATCATGGGACGGAGTGAGGAGGAGGACGCATTGGTCTGCATGGATGTTAGCGACATTTGTACCGGGCTTGGAGTGAAGAGAATTAGATCAGTGAAACGCAATTTGAAAGGAACACAATTTATGAAACTCTTCTGAAAAAGAAAAAAAAAGAAAAAAAATGTAAAATCTGAGAAAGAAGTTTAAAAATACTATGCAAGAGTTTAGATCAAATCCTGTAAACAAATTAGATCTTAATACAGCAACAAAACAAGAGCTTAAAAGACTTCCCCTTTGCACACACGAAGCCATCTAGGTTCAAAGGTTATAAAATCCACTTTCCTGCACTTGTGGAGCTCACAGGCATGATAATCTTCTCATGACAGAGAGTGTCCTGAGCTTCCAGCAGCAAAATGACAGATTAGCTCGAACCATTCATGCATAAAGCAACCAGTTCAACATTTCAAAGATCAGAGAAGAAAATGTTTAATTTTTGCTCTTCTTTCCATGAGCTAAACCTGTTTTTTTCCCTTTTTTTTCCTGAAGTGAGGCTTTTACCATATATATGTTTTTAATTAAAGAACACAGATAAATGTGTCATCATAGAAGAAATTGTAATTTGTTAAAAAACCAACTATCTCTGAGGTGGCTGTGAAAATATTGAACTTGAAAAAAGTCTTTATAGTTTTATAACAGAAAAAAATATATATTTTTTTTGCTTTTAGCAGACAAAACATAATTGTCAGTACACTTTGTGTTTTTTAGTAAAGCACAGGTAAAGTGTATCAGTTCTTCACCCGGCATTGTGAATCCTCAGATTTTAATCCTTCTAAGATATTTTATTTAGAAACAGGTTGGATTTAAAGGCCTAAACAAACAGAACTGACATGAGGGAACAGAACCAGAGTGCTTTCACTGCTCTGATCGCTTGCCAACTTATTCAATTAGCATAAGCTTCACTATAAGCCCTCTGAGCAGCGGTCACAGTGTACCAGCACGTGTTTAAGGGTATCCCAGAGTATCCTGCACGTAGGAAAGCCATCTGCAGAGCTGCTTTGTGACAGATGTATAAACTACCGACTCCAAGTAATACTCAAAATTCTCTCAAAAAAAGCACTAAAAACTTCAACAAATCTCAGGACATTTAAGAAGGAATAAGCAGGATTCTCCCAGCATTATTTATCATGAAAGGTCGGATATTCATCCAGTAAATGAAAAGCCTTATCTCTGGTGGAGATAAGGGTTCAGGTTGGCTGCAGGCCTTGGTTCATCACTCTATCTGCTGTTTGGTCTTATTAAAAGATAGAAGCCTGTCCAGAGGCTGGATTAAGGTTATGTGTCTGAAAGAGTTTCCCATATGAAAATAACAAGAGGTCCAACATACAAAACTGTTAGGAATATAAAATGAAAAAAACTGGAAAATTTAATAGTTAAAGGTTATAAGCTACAACTATAAGCAATCAATTTTCTAAAATATTACTAAATAATCTCAAATTTATCTAAACAGTGCAGATTAAAAGTATGATTTTTTCTGAAAAAGGGATATAAATAATTGTTTTGTATAGTTAAAGTCATAAGGAAGTCATATTTAAATGTCAAATCATTCTGGCTCAAACATGTATATAAATGTTCTCTTTATCAGATCATATTATCCCAAAAGTTAGAAAATTTCTATTTAAAAAAAAAAATCCTGTCTTAAAATCTGTGTTTTTTTTCATTATCTT